TGCACAAAGTCATTTTTAATTTCCTGTGCAGCAACTGTAATGAAAAGTGTTCACTGAGTAGAAGAGAAAAGGCCTATATAATGGAAGTTTTTTCATAGATGAGTTTCAATGTGAGTGCACATTCAATTATACATGTTTTATACATGTTTTGCATGCTAGACTGTGAGAGATAGGTAGCAGTGTTTGTAAAATTTTAAGTCTACATGTATATGTGTATGCCAGGTGAGAGAAAGGAAAAGAAAAAAAAAGCTGGTAGGGTATAGTCCTGCATAATATCAGGAAGAGGTGTGAGTAGACATTAAAACTACATAGATAGGTAGATTGATTGATAAAAGTTGGTTAGTGGGAGGTTAGGATGTTGATGAAATGGTAGTCTAGAAGTTAGATTAAAGCAGAAATGTGTTTAGGAACCAAATACTGATTGAGAAAGATTTATTGCAGAATTAATAAGGTCCTGATGATGTAGAACAAAAATTGCAAGAAATGATTATTTAAAAAGAACAATGTCTCTTTTTCTTCATAATATTGTCAAAAGCTGTGGAAAAGGTAGAAGGATGATTTGGGAATACACAGCTGTCCTTTTGGCAGACTTCACTGAACTCTGTAATAACTAGAGGTATTTTGTGGCTCACTCTGAAGAAAAGAAAGTTTAATTCTAGATTCAGTTGTGCCTGAATGTCTTAGTTAGTATGCCTGTGTGAATGAGAGAGATGTGTATATTCCACAGAAGGCTTATGACTGGTGTTGTGTATAAGATCTAAAAGTGTCTGACAGATTGGCATATTTGCGTGTGGGTTCTGTGTGATGTAATTCATGTTTTGGTTGTGGGTGTCTTTATGTGTATTCATTTGTTGTCCACTTGTTTTCAGTGGAGTTTACATGTAAATGTACATAATGAAACTGCATGCTGTGCATTATTTAGTCACACAGATTTTTACCAGTATGCCATTATATCATAAATTATTAAGATGTACATAAGTATTTTTTTTTATTTAACTTTATGACACCTTTGGTTTAATATTAAACATATTTACCATGAAAATGAAAACTGTACAAGAGTTTTTGAGTTTACTTAAACTACAGTACAGCATTATATACTGTATTAATTTATCATTGCAATCCTCTGCTTATAAGCGATTGCTTAGAAAATCAAATACAAAGTGTAATGGATTTTACAAGCGCGGCAAACGCATGGCTCTTAGATCAGCGTTGACTGAAAGCAACTGGCAAGTTACTTGGCTGTTACCTTGTGTACGAGATGTTGGTGTGCATGCCATAGGAATTAGCCATAAGAGACATAACTGCATGAATTACTGTCGTAGCTTTGGCTGTCATGGCTGTAAACACATTATCATTATTATTTATTTATTTATTTATTTATTTTCATGTGGCTAGATGAAAGTTTGTTTTGCTGTTGAGTGACATGGCTAGATGTTGCTATGGTTGCCAGACTAATACATTTAGATAAAAGCTTATGACTAGTAACTGAATTTATTTGAATGAATTTGCTTTCCAGAGTACAATCACTTTTATTGAATATAGCTTCTCTACTTGCAGTAATTTCTTGTGCATATTCAGTCTTGCTTTTTAAATCTTAGCCTAGTTTTATATCATAGTTTTTTTGCCAGTCAATTTGAAGAAAGTACAGCTCTCATGATTGTTTAAATTATTCTTTTTTTCTCATTTCATATATGTGTATGTCTATGTCTAATCTTTGTCTTCCAATTTCTCTCCTCCTCCTCGCCATCCTTCTCCTTCTCCTCTTCTCGTCCAACTCTCCCCCCCTCCCCCCGTGCGCAACAGACAAGCTAGATGGCTCCTTTAGTCGATCTCGTTCGTCCAGCATCAGCAGCCTTGAGAATATTAGCAGTGAGGCAATACAGTGTCTGGCCTTTGCTGATTCTTATATAAGGAAAAATGGTAAGTGTTTAGTTTGCTCTCTGTCTCTCTCTCTCTGTCTGTCTGTCTCTCTCTCTCTCCCTCTCTCTCTCTCTCTCTCTCTCTCTCTCTCTCTCTCTCTCTCTCTCTCTCTCTCTCTCTCTCTCTCTCTCTCTCTCTCAGTCTTCTCTCTCTCTCTCTCTCTCTCTCTCTCTCTCTCTCTCTCTCTCTCTCTCTCTCTCTCTCTCTCTCTCTCTCTCTCTCTCTCTCTCTCTCTCTCTCTCTCAGTCTCTCTCTCTCTCTCTCTCAGTCTCTCTCTCTCTCTCTCTCTCTCTCTCTCTCTCTCTCTCTCTCTCTCTCTCTCTCTCTCTCTCTCTCTCTCTCTCTCTCTCTCTCTCTCTCTCTCTCAGTCTCTCTCTCTCTCTCTCAGTCTCTCTCTCTCTCAGTCTCTCTCTCTCAGTCTCTCTCTCTCTCTCTCTCTCTCTCTCTCTCTCTCTCTCTCTCTCTCTCTCTCTCTCTCTCTCTCTCTCTCTCTCTCTCTCTCTCTCTCTCTCTCTCTCTCTCTCTCTCTCTCTCTCTCTCTCTCTCTCTCTCTCTCTCTCTCTCTCTCTCTCTCTCTCTCTCTCTCTCTCTCTCTCTCTCTCAACTTTTTTTAGATTTAAGCACTTTCCTGAATAAATTTGTTAATTTGTTTCTTTATTTATATCTATGTTTTCTCAGTGGGAAAATAATTGGGTCCTGTTAATAAGGATGTGAATTTATCTTTCAAATGAGCTTTAGACTGTTTGAAAATCAGGGGAGAATCAGAATCAATTTCAATTTACAGAAATATTACAGTAAGATTCTAACAGATATGACTTTTTCTATACTATTCATGCAAAAAAAAAAAAAAAAAAAAAAAAAATCTTTTGATAGTGAAATATAATTGGTATATTCTTTGATAAGTTTATAAATAATTTTACCTCCACTCTATCTCATACAGATACCCAAATGTCACCAACCCTATGGGTAGGAACAAGTCTTGGGTCAGTCATCCAAGTTATGTTAGTTATACCTCCATTAGAAGGGCGTCTGTCTAACCCTGCACAGGTTACTCCCAGTGGTATGTACAATTGTGAGTTTTTGTAGGAAATCTTCAGATGGCATGGGACGCAAATGCAATGGTTGTAATGAACGCTTTCTCTTCGTAGTAGTTACTTTGCTAGCTATTGTTTTCGTTTTCTTTTTATGGTTATTGACAAATATTGTATTTCATGAGGATTCTAGAAATTTAATGTAGATTGCTGCTCAATTTGGATGCTAGACTGTCATGTGAATACTAAGAGACTGATATATGTTGCTTTCCTTTATTTCACAAAATCTCACACTTATAAATCTCTTACTAATCTTAAGTGGTAATTTTTCAGGGACGATCTTTCGTCTGAAGGGTTCTGTTCTAGCAATGTCTTTTCTGGACTGCAATGGGGCACTCATACCCTATCAGTATGAGTCCTGGAAGGATGCCAACAAGGAAAAGAAGCTGGAACGTAAGTGATTTTGATTTTGTAAATTGTAGCTCGTTAGATGGACAGAGGTGTTAGATATTAGAGAGGCTGCTGTGATTGGTCTTCATGGACATAGCTCTGCTGCAACACAGACCAGGAAATTGATTGTATTCCGGTTTAAATATAATATAGAAACCTAAGAAACACTTTGAGCTTTTGTTTGTTACTTTCTTATTTTGTCTACTAACTGGACAACAATTAGAAGAAAATAATTCAGTAGCAGAGGCTATCCAGATTTTGGAATAACAGTGAATTAAAAAGTCCTTGTAGAACGTAGAGGGTAGAGTACAGGAGTGAAAAATGACCATTCTTGGCCTGTTTTCACAAAACCAATTCATTTGTAATAAGCTTAATTTTACAGATGTCAAGTGTTTCTGAATTATCATGAAAAAGACTAGCCACAAACTTTGAAGTCACAAAGTAGCCTGGAATACTATTTAGGTCTTATTTATCTGCTTATTCACCCATATATTTATGGATATATATCATAGATATATAGGTATGTGGCTACAAACTACCAATGCGATCAGGGCTGTGATTTGTATTAAGGGAAATGAATAGCTTGATAGATCCAGTATGTATATTTATACTGTGTGTATTTGTGTTTATATTGTCATTTTCTATGTATTTCTATATATGCTTATCTTTGTAACAGTAAATCGAAAATATTCAAATTTGGGAAAAATGATATGCATTATCTTTTATCTGATGAAAGACTTAATATTGTAATGATCATCCGAGATTTTCCTTGTGCCCAGTTGCAGAGGAACATACTACACTCCTTCTTTCTCTCTGTTTCAGGTACTCCGACAAAATCATTGGTCGACAACAGAATGTCGCCAACTAACTCAGGAGAGCAGACTTGGGGAGACCGACAGTTTGTTGTGATTGCGTCAGAGAAAGTGGCCAGAGTCGTTGCATTACCGTCGCAGAACTGTGTATATAAGCAGATCATCACTGAGGTTTCTTTTGTTGTTAAGGCAGAAATAATTCAGATTAAAGGTCAGTGGTCAACAGTTCTTTTTTTTTTTTTTTAGCTTGATATTGGGAAAGATGTAGTTATAAAGGTAGAGGTGAAGTTAGATACAGAGAAAGAGGAAGAAATGACCATCAAAGAAGATGGAGATAAAGAAAGAAGAATAATGAAAGAAAAAAAAAGAGATATGGGTAGTTATTCATAAGAGAAAAAAGAACAAGATGTGATGGAAGAGTAAGATAGAATATATAAACAAGAGAGATTGAATTAGAGTGAGTGCATAAATGAATGTATAATATGTATGAATAATCTTTACTATGAAAATAGCTGTAAGAGTATGCAAAACATTTTCATGTATCTACCAGTTGTTACTATCTTCCATTTAGGTAATAAGATATACTAGAATATACTTAATGGTCTGTAATTTTTTTTCTAATGAATCTTATGTCTCCTCCCATTGAAGAGGTCTTATAATGTCTATTTTCCATTACAGATAGTGTATGTCTAGTTTGTTATGTTGCAACAGGACACATTTCTGTGTTTAGTCTGCCCAGTCTTCGACAGCTGGTGTATGTAGACTTCCTGCCTCTTGTTGACCTTAGGTAAGTGAGTCCAGTTTTACTCTAGTTTTAGAGCTAGTAACTGATTTTGAAGTATGAATATTTTCCTTAGTTGTGTGGAGTTAGAACTTTTATTTAAACAGATTACAGCCGCCTTGCATCACCTTTTTTTAAATGTAGATTCAAGAAAGCTATACATGGCTGTATGTGGCTGGCCAGCGAGTTTTTTTATGTTTTTAATGTTTTTTTTCTTTAACAGAAACTAGTGTGTATATGGCTTTCTTGCCTCTACTGATGTATCTATAGATCTTAGTAGGATTTAATATGTTTTAACATATCTCTTGTATTTTGATAAATCTTAGATAGACGTATTTTGTTTAGTTGTTCTCATGACATCTCTTAACATCAACAAGTGAGTATTTTAAAGGATTATAGTAGTATGTACACATATCACAGTACAAACACAACCTCTGGATGAGTATATGTATAGATAGCCTAACTGAATATCTTTATCCCTCTTCAATTTGGTAATAAAAGCTGTATATTCACTCATCTGGTTGGCTTATGTTCTGGATCTCATCTTTACATATTCTAAATGAGAAAGAGTTGGTGGTAACGTTTTCTGGATGCTCTTACTGCCTGAGGAATCTGAAAAAGGAGGTTCTTTAAGGAATTTTTGGTTTTGGTTTTTCTCTCTCTCAGACTGTGTATAAAGTGCAAAGTGCTTTGGCAAGAGCACTGAATTGTCATAAGTTTGCTTGCAGTTGTAACCAGGGAAAAATGAGTGAAAGATGATAGTAGGTATATATGCTTTGGCCTTGGGATTTAAGATAAAAATGCTGATGTCTGCAGCTTCAAACAGGGCTTAAGTAATTAAAGGGCTGTTGTAATATAAATGCCTCTGCACTAAGTCACAATTGTCTATAATCACTATTCATAACATGTATATATGCTATGTAAATGATATTAGTAGAAATATTATAATATTCACAAATCCTGATTTTTGCGTGCAAATGCTTGCCTCTTCACCAACACTAACTTTTTCTCATTTACATTCATGAACAACTTTTGATTTTTATTTTCTTATGAAATGATAAGTGAATCCAGTTTAGATTCTTATATGTTAAATATGATGTGTCTGTTATGGATTTCTTTATGTGTTTCCTAGTTACTAACCTGTAAGATAGATGACTAACCTGCAACAAGCCTAGCCCCATCTGGAACAATCAGCACACAGTTGCCCTCCCAAAGAACACTTAATGCTACAATCTCTTCCCTTACACATAGTTTTCAGACGAGGAAGACTGGCATAGTTGATCCTATGCTGTCTATTTGGGGTCAGCAAATGTTCGTAAATGAAGATACTGACCAGTAAGTCAACACACAACACTTGATCTCAGAGACTCACATCTATTGTTTTATTATCTCTATGAAGAATTGTTCTTGTAATATAATAGCTAAGCATCATATTTTTTGTATGTGAAAGTAAGAGCACATGCAAGATGTTAAGATGTGAGTTTCTGATAACACAGGCAGTGCATGGTTAAAGGTCTTGCGACTGTGCATGGAATCTGTGATGCAATTTATTTTTTGTGCATGATAGTTTAATCTGCATGAAACTTTGCTTTATTAAGTTGTGGTTCCATTATGGGAGATTAAAACAGTGAAATTATAGACCATGAAGAGAGAGTTCATGCATGCGAAGATGATGCTACTCTTTTTGGCGAGACTTAGAGACTTGAGCCAAAATTCCCCAAATCTCTATACCCCCCTCTGTGTAGGATGATGTCCCTTGGTGAGAATTCCGTTTATTAATTACACTTGGAGTGGTAATTATCCTAGGAGTAAAGTCATCCCATTATTCTACTTTTGTCATCATTCATTTATTCTGTGTATAGAGAATAATGAGGGGACAGTTTCTCTTCAATTTTTGTTACTATTGGTTTAGCACAGTCACTCTTCTTGGCTCATTACTTTTTGTCCATTGAACACTTTAATCATAGAATGTTAGCGTCTGTGTTTTAAAGCATTTTTTACATCTGGTTCAGTGTGATTCTGTCTTTGGTTGTCCTTTCCTTTTTGGAACAGACCTGAACAACAGATTTTCTTCCATGCTGATTTCATAACTTTTTTCTTCTTCTCTTTTTGTTTACTATAGAAAATAACCATTTATCATTCTAACTTTCTTTTAAAGTATATAATTTGTTTATAACTTAGAATAACAAAAATAGAAATTCACTTTTAGTGTAAAGGGGATGCCTTTATGAGACTTTGGTGACATTTAGTTAGGCAAGTGATATAGCTTTTAATATACATCACAGATAGGAAATGTGAATATTTTTATACATATGAGAGGGTTAGAAAAGTTAAAGAATGGTCAGAGGAAGTGTGCACAAGTTCATGTTAATTCTATATATTGGATAACCATCTGGTTGGAACAACTTAACACACAGTATGCAACTTGAGTTTCAGTGATTCTCAATCATGGTACATATATGGGTACTGATCCTTAATTATATGTATCAGGAATAGATAGTATGGGGGCTTAGATCTGATGTGATGTGGCCACCTGCCCAATTTTGAATTTTAAACAAGCAGAAGTAGCTTTTTGTGACTCGGTTGTGACCACAATCCAAGCACCCCTTGTGATGTCATGAAATCACTAATCCCCATAATACTGGTATTCCCTTAAAGTCTTGCATAAGGCACACCTTGTACTGGGAAACATTCTTTACCATGGATAATCAGAGTAATGTTGGACAGAATTTAATAGTTAATGCTTAAGGGAGCCTACTGAAGATTATCTCCAGAAAGTGCTAAAATCATTAAAATGTAGGAAAATAAGCTTAGAGCTTATTAGAGAGTTATTCCCAGTCATAGTACCCTAATCTATCATTAGTTTGGGTTATTATAGCCTTGTTAAAATGAAAGATTTTATTTTTTTAAGATAAATCTTTGAATTGTTATAAAATTATTGTTAAATAGGTATATTCTGCTTCAGTAGCTACTTCTACTTCTCCAGTTCCTTCCACACACAAGAATTGATGAATAGATAAAATGATAAAAACGAATATCTAAGATAGCATTTCCCAAGCGATGGCTCGAAGAAATTTGAAGAGGAGGCGTCCTGAGGGTTTGTTTCCTTTTTAAACTTCAAATTATTTCTGATCTTGGACATGAGTGATTCATGTTTATTTTTGTTTGGGATTCAAGAAGCTAAAGGTAGGAATATTAGTAAACAATACAGGTAGAGAAGGCGTGTATAGTGCACACATAATATAGGCAGTAGATGTCTAAGTCGTTTATTGAATAATGCTGAGTTTAGATACACTTTGTGTCCTCATAACAGTATGAATTTTATATTTCATTAAAGTTACCTGTCAGCTACAGTATATTTATGCATGTGATTGGGAAATAAAAAATAGATATTATCATTTATTATCATATATTTTATTATATTTATTATATTATATACTTGTTTATATTTGTCCTGTACACTTTCTATCATCATTGTAACCAGAAAAATAAAATAGAAGTTAGTGAAGTAAGATATTTGGGCAGTCATACACTATTGGCACACTCACAGACTATTACTATTAAAAAAAAAATTATGTTATCCATTTATAGAATATATAAAGAAATTTTGATCCCTATTTTCTAAAAATCAGTAAGATTTGAGTGTGGCCAATTTGCCTAGCTTCAGTTGATGTAGTTGATCATTTTGAAGCCTGTGATAAGGGCTACAGCTTTATTTGCAAATTTTTCAAGACATTTTGTATTTAGCAAATATAGGACCATTTTTGAATTTTGAAAAAAGCTATTATTTGAGGCTGTAATGCAAAGTAAGTAGATTGAAGTTGCTCTATCTGCTCTATCTGACATAACTTGTGGGACACCCTCTAGGTAGGCTAATGGAATGAAGTAGGACACCCTCTATATGGTATCAAGTTGGACACTCTCAATAGAGGCTAATGGAGTCAAGTGTACATGCAGGAATTGTGAATCGTAATTCATGCAGCATTCTCATTAGACCAGTTTGTCTGCATGTAGAAAGGACATTCATCTACATACATACAGAAAAGATAAAAAATATTATGAGAATTATCAGTCCGACAGAGTGTTTTCACCTCTCACAAAATGGGACCCCATATGCATTTGTTTTTTCTTTCCTTTGAGCACATTGCAATATCGCTTGAATGTTTTAACTTAGAAAAGTGCACAGAAAGCTTGGCAGGAATTGACACATTGCATTTGTTGGGCTGTCCACAGAAGTAGACCTGCACTTTTGGTTTTGATTTTAAATAGATTTTTAAACATCTGTCCAATTAACTATCACCAGTACATGTTTATACTATACATGAATGCTCTCTTGTTTATTCATTACTTTGCAATACTTTCATCTTCTTGAATAAATTTGCCTTCATGTTTTATTTGTCTTGATATGCTTTGTCAGGAGGAGGAAGGTCCCTGTAAGAAGGTAACAGTTTTCTCTACAACTTGCATTGATTGTGTATGATGCAGTACTACACCAGTGTAACTAGAGTATATGCTAGTGATTTCTTGTGCTCATTACCTATTGATTAGCATAAGGTATTTTTCGATCCTGTGGTGTACTGCTTCAAAGGTTTTCAGTGCTATATCATTTGTATAGTGTAATTATTTTCTTTTTTTCCAGTATAATTGGTTAATAACTGAATGTGTGACTGACAGATGCTTTCTTCAACTTAATGAAATTCCATTCTCTTGCCTTCTTTTTTGATCTGGGTTTAGGCTGTTAAACTTACCATGTTTATGTGTACTCTCAGTTCGTCATAACGGGTCTTTCCCATCAGAACAACCTTCTGTGTCCTGAACTGTCTGCTGGTATGCTATGTCTTTGAAGATATTTTAGAGGAGCTCATATGAAGGAAGAATGTCTTTTGTTTTTACATTTTATTTTCCAATACATTTCACTTGAAAATAGTTTTTAAATGTAATTTTGAAGAACATTAGAACATGTTGAATTGATTGCCTTCAGTATGAAATTATTCTGGAAAATGCAA